CAGGCTCATTTACCTTTGCTTTGCAGAAAGTTGTAAGTTTTACTGCAAAAGTCATCGATTAGGATATAGACAATTGAGACTTTTTTAGAGGGGTACTTTTCAAACCATTTTCTTGAAAACGCGGGTTTTTTTTTAGGTTCCAATGGTCGTATCTTGTTTTAAAAACCAATTTCAGTATAACTTTGAGTGTGTTGGAAAACTACGAAACTACGAGTGTGCTCTCTCAAAAATCCACTCAAGCTTCTGTGGAAATCCTTCCTCCACAAAAATTTCTTTTGTAAACTAACTTGGTTGATTCGGCGTCCGTCTTGTAGCTACTGTAATTTCTTCGTTTCATTCACGCCGGACTTTCATTACGCCGATCCTTCTCAAACAGTTCCTATTACCGACAACTCGAATCCAAGCGCTTTGCACTAGCAATCCTTGCCATGGTGTGCGCCGCAGCTGTGTTGCGCATCTAATTGGCCGATGCATTTCAAAGTCGATTTAGATTTCTCCTGCAGTTACGACCACCTTCACGTCGTGAACCAAATCCAACCCTCCTCGCTGGTACTTGTACCAGCATACAGCTGTCCCTGCCTGGGAGAGGGACCAATTCTTCGCCAGAGAATACCTTGATGTTCTTGACACCTCTTATGGATGATCTTTCTGAAATCATATGGTCGATTTCCGTAGTCTCCCTCCACTTATGGGTCTCCCTTTTCGCGAAGAACGTGCTGCAGATTGCATGACCATGGGTTCTAACCAGATCCAAAGCTCTCTCTTCCTTCGCTCTCTTCGTTTCAGTCTCGACTAGTGGGATATGTCCCCTGCCTGCAGAGACGCAGAGGGTCGACGGCAGTGACCGTCCCGCACGGTTGCGTCATAGGAGCCACCGAAAAACGATGGGTCTTGCGACGAAGTAGGGGATATATCCCCAAGGTTGGGGATATGTCCCCAAGGTTGGGGATATATCCCCAAGGTTGGGGATATATCCCCAAGCGTCGGGGATAGGGGATGGGTCCCCATCCCCTAGTTGGGGCTTGCTGCACCCGGCCCCAGATGTGGCCATTCAGATTGCCTGCTATGGTTAGATGGCCTCCTTCTCGAGTAGATCTGACAGCGTCCTCGAGACTAAGACAGAACTCTCCGTTCTCATTTTAGACGCACGCGGTGCGTACACATTATCCTGTACCCCTCCTTTGTGGCTACTCGATTGATAATTCGATCGTTGGTTCTTTTTACGGCAGAGACGCACTCCTTGAGTTACTCCGCTACCACTATAGCCGCGTCATTCCACATGGTGTCTTATTCTGACACCTTCCCCAATTTCCCTGGCCTTAGCACCTTTCCATCGCGTCTCCTGAAGGCATAGGACTTGGATATTCCTGCGCGTCATCAGATCAGCAACCTCTCGGGACTTCCCAGTTAGCGATCCTACGTTCGAGTCCCTATTCGAACTAGCTTCTTTGGCCAAGGCCGCTCACTCCCCTCGTAATCAAAGAAATCGGGTGAGAGTTCTCTTCTCCACTTCCAGGACGTCCTAGCCTTAACACTTATGCAACTTCTAATCATTGTTTTGTGACCGGAGTCTTCATCAGACGGCTTGTCTCCTGGGCCTGACGCTGGAAACAATGCCTTATATAATAGTACAATAGAATAGCTTATCCCATGAGTCCCATGTTTCCTTCAAATGCTCATAAAGATAAGTTTGAATTTCAGGCGTGCAAAATGAGAGGTTCAGTCGAGGAAATATGGCCAAACTGGCAAATGACTTGAACTCTATTTTCTATTAGAAGGAATCAACGGTGATGTACTGTGTACTCTTGACCCCGATTTCTACCATAATCACTTCGCTTATACGTTCTCTAAAAAGACTGTAATTTTCCGCGTTAAATTTGTTTTTCCAGTTCATCGCTAGGCCATGGCGGTCTTTCAAAGGAAAATTTTCCCATCAAAAACTTCCTTACCCAGCGCGGTACCTCACTCAAAAGCTTTTTTTCAGTATTATACCAAATGGATGTACGTTTCGCCTTTATTTTCGTGATGGATTAGGTTGAATTCCAGGACTACCTCATAAGCTATCCAGTCAACGAGGATGACCACACTAGGTCACAAGAACCTCAAAAAGGCTCAATCAGTGTTGCATTCAGTATTTGATCACTACTCTCACATGTCCCACAAATTTTTCATTGCTTCTGTGGCACTGAGTGAAGATCCGACAAGATTGCGGTCAACCATTGAATTCTAAAGAAGGAATCAAATTTGAGAAAAGAACGACGCATCCTGTCAACAACCCAGTGACAGAATGTTTATGAGAGGAATACATTAATCACATCTTAATCACCCTTGGTCTTATTCGATGTAACGTAAAGTTTGAGTAAATTGCAGGTTTGTTTAAACTTCCTCGAGCAGCTCTCCCACTCCGCCCGCCCAAAACCAATCCGTTCACCATGAATATGGAAAGGGCGTAAACATTCTCTATAGGGTGGCAAATCTCCTTTGAAGCTCATGTATGGTGGCGTGTTTACACAATCCCCCCCCCCCTCCCTTCAGGATTTCCACCAGAAAAAGAAACGACCTTATTTATCGGTCAATCGTACAGTTACGCAGGCCCTTATGCTATTAATGCAAGTTATTAGGCAGTAGTGACGTTCAGAGTGGAAAATGGGGGAAGAATCCTCACCAGGTGGGGAGGAGGGAAGTATGTGCTCTGATGGGAGTCACTCGTCGTCATCACTATTTCGAAAAGTGTTTCGGCTGGCCTAAGGTAAGAGATATGCTAAAGCTAAACTAATGCACTGCGGTAGCAAGGGTAAATGGGTACAATTTGGTGAACAGTTACAACAAATAAGAAGCCGGCGCTTATGGTTCAATAGTTGCTGAGAAGAAAAGGAAATATTATAGTTCAGCAAAACTAGAAGGAATATCTAGGCTGAAGATATTTACTCTAGTTTTGGCTCTAATATCCACGCTTACATGTTTGTTACCGTTTGACACATCCTGGTCTTTTGAAAGTTCATTACTCGCCTTGACAGATTATGCTATAATGGAAGGCATTCCCGGTTACAAATCCAACCCTTATATGATGTGTACCGCTTCAAGACCTAAATTCCAAGCGTTATTTAGCCCGAAAGTTCAAAATGTGCAACTTCTAATACAACCACACGCCGCAACAGGGACTGCTCTGTTCCAGCGATGAGTTCGGGAAACGATGTAAAGAAGCATTTTGAGGTTGAGAAAATCCCCACCAACGACGAAGAAAGAGCGCTTTTCGTGTGGCTCGAAGTTTCCCCAACATTTCCTTGGCGTGCACATCTTGCGAAACAAAAAACACCCGGATAAGATGCAATACCTATTGGAAAGCAGGAGACTTCTGCTATCTAAAACTGCTCTCCGTTGATCGGACGCCTATCTCTTTGAAGGTTGCAGCTTGTACCATAAACAGACGTATGAAAATATAGAAGCTACTACTACTATATAGTGCTTTCGCTTCATCCTCCTGGATCGCATTTGAGGAAGGCTTGCTTGAAATGCCCGTTGCGTTTCTTTCGTAAACCTTCCCTTAGCACCACCATAAATGTATACGTATAAGAAGCTTCGAAAGCATAGGCTCAAGTGTAGTTAGTTATGGGGGATCGGGACGGGAGAGAGAGAGCGTTGTGACGATTCTAAGCACTCAAAACTACAACAAACTCTTATTATACAGGCTTGGGAAAAAATACTCAATTAGTTCCCTTTTATGACAAGGGAAATGGTCCATCATCTTTGAGCTCCTCCCTCTGCAAATTGAATACAGCACGAACAACACACTGCACTACAGTGCCCCCCCCCCCTCACTACTCCCCATTCGTCTAATCATGCAGTACCAATGAGAACTCCTAACATTATCATACCACTTCACAGAAAGACGAGCACTTCACCTTTCACGAGACCTGTGACCCATTCTCACGAACCTGGAGCCTCGACACGTCAACTTGAGCACAACTGTTTAAAGACGGGCGCTGGCTCATTTTGGCAGTGTTCACACATTGCGCCACACAAGGAGGACGCTCGAAACGAACGAATCTGCGCAAATGCGAAATGAATGAAATGCGTATCGATCCACAAAATGGGAGGAGCATCGAATCGCGCATTGGAATCTGCGAATCCTCTTAAAAGGAATGGGTGTCTATCGATCAGTCAATCGGAGATCGCAGCATCGAAACGGCGGTGCGAAAATCCTCCAGCAACGCTAATAGGGCGTGGTTTACTACGTCGATACGCATCTAAACCTTTTCGCATCCGCGTTCGCGCGTGTGGAAATTCTCCTGGTCGATACGTATAAATTCTTTTCGCGAATTCGAATATTCGGATGATTCGAAAACTGTGAACAATGCCTTAGCGCACAATATTCCCACAACACTCATATCACACCTCCATCCACTGCAGATAGAACCAGTGTATGTTAATGTGATAGTACATACGATACCACACCTTGTTAAAGAACCATATTGCAAACCGTTAACAGTGGAAGCATGGACAACAATGGACCAACATAGCTGTTGAAACCAGGCTAAGACCTGCTGAACCTTGTTCAACAGAGAAGAAATTAAATTCACATTACAATTACCGGGCCTCAGGACCAGTTGAACAGCCTTCCGAGACATCATTTATGTTGCCAATAGCAGTTTTTGGAGATTAGCATTTCGCTATGTCAGTTGTCAAAACATTGCGAAATCTCCGACGCAATGAAAATGTTGACGAAACTGATGCGTCGCAACAGACTGTAGACAAATGTAGGAACCGTGACAAGAAGTCTTCAATCCCGATTAAAACCTGAGTCCCTATAGTCTTTCACTTGAGCAAAATAATTAAGTAAACATGTGTGAGCGCCAGGAATTCCACCCCACGGCGAACCGAACGCGACGTCTGTGGTATTCAAAAATACAAGAGCAGAATGATAACTTTCTTGTCGGAGAACAATCAACAAAAACAACATTTCACTTCTGCTCTGTGAACTTGCACTCGTATTCATGAAATTACTTCTGTTCAGTGGTGGCTCTCTCGCTCTCCGAAATCTTGCGAAGAAGCTCCGTTCTCTTGGCATGTTGTCGCTCTTCTCGTCTCTTACGGGCTTCCTTGTTCTTGTCACGTCTTGCTTGAGCTTGATCACTGTAAACATATATTTTCCTTGAGAGCGCTTAAACGATCCGATTAGAAACCAAATATTAGGAATACTTACGCGAGTTGCTTAGCACGCTTGTTCTCACTCTTCTTTCGGAAGATGTACTCCATAAGATGTTTCTTGTTCTTGAAGTTGTTACCCTTGGCACGGAGGTAGAGCTCGTGGTACAAAGTTCTGTCGATCTTCTTCGACTCGCGATACCTCTTCAACAAATTGCGGAGCACACGCATACGTCTCATCCACAGGACCTTCTCTGGCATTCGCGCATTCTTCGTACCGTGTCTTTTACCGTAGCCAGAATGTCGTCCCTAAGAAATGGAACAAATGATCACTACAAAAAGAAAACAAGCAGCAAGGTCATGAAGAATAGGTACCTTCCTGCGAGCTTCCTCATAGAGGCGAGCGCGGTAACGTGAGTGAACCACTTCCGGTTTACGGATGATGAGACCATCCTTGATCAAGCGACGAATATTTTGCCTCGAGTTGGCGTTGGAGATTCTCGCTGACCTCGTTAGGATCGAGCCAAATTTTGTTCTTACCGCATTTCAGGACAGATGCGGCAAGGCGCTTTTGGAGACGCAGGTTACTGAAAATATCTACGTGTACATATCTACACCCTATCTGCGTGCCATTCATAAAAATGAAGGTTCATATGTTTATAATTAAAACTGGAATCACGACGAATACTGAAAAGTAGATCAAGGCCGTGATATTGATCTGTCCTCATTGCTTTTCATTTGATATAATGAAAGGAACAAACACTAAAGTCATAGTAAATGGATAATCGTAGCTAAACAAATATTGCCTCGTACCATATGTCCTTTTGGAAAGCACTTGAAAGGACGCACTTAAAATGATAAGAAACCAGTCTCTCAGAACATCCTGATCACTTGCAAAAATTACGATATACTGGGGTATCCTCTAGGACTAAGCCTAGGAGGGGGCACGAACTCCGGAGGAAATAAAACGGCCCACGCGCCTTAAAGTCGCTCTTCCAATGTCCAAGGCTCAGTTCCGTTTTCAACAAAAAAGGCATGTTCTACAAAATTTTGATGCCTTGCTACCACAATGACCGTATATTGCGATAGCAGCTATAATATAACTGAACTCTAACACTAGCGCCTGACAGGAAAATAACCAGCAAAAGAAGAAAGCGCAATGTGGCTCCGAAGAGAGGGTAGGGGGTGCAGTGTGTAGGAAGACCACTAGGACTTAGCCTAATTCAAAGGGACGAATTCAGAACGAACGGAAATTGCTTAGCAGTTCGGATTCCCTCTTTTTGGGACTCCAAAGCTTAGTCCAAAACTGAAAATTTTCGTGAATCTTACGCAATATTACAGGCTGATCCCCCCGGAGCCACATTGCACCAAGAAAAAATAACAACATGGCATTCAAAACTGCTGCATCGAAACATAACACCACTACACAAAAAAAGGACAGCCTATTACGAGAAAACGAAATTTCTACGGCTCTATACAAGTGGGGTGGGCACGCCCAGCTTTTCACGCATGTCAAGTGACTGCCCTCACCCCCACCCCCTAGATTGGCTACACTCCCTGGCTCACGAATTCCCCGATTCTCGTGACAGTATAGTAGCGGGACATACATTTCTGTTCAAAAAATCCGGCGTGAATAACAGCTGGTCTTATGGTCTTAGATCTGCGCCAAAATGACATCTTACAACTAAAAACTAGAACATATACATGCTCTCAACCATTGACGGCAGCGTGCCCTGAAGGCAGGCCGTACTTTCATTAGACAAGGTTCGTTCTGCTTCATTTTTTGACATTTTTTCCGTGTTCCAGAGCAGCCCATATACATGTATAGGATTCGAAAAAGCGATGTCTTCATTACTAATAATAAAAATTTTGAAAGGTGAGACTACTGATGAAAAATATGTAATCGTTACTGCAGCGCACGCACAATGGGTCAATCGCTAGCGCCTAACTTTAATACACCACTGAATACCAAAGGAAAAAAAGGAAATAAAATCAAGAAAATTATCCTCATGGAACATCTGCCCCATGCAATAACTCACGCAAGGGACATTCCAACCACCAGATCACGAGTATTTAAAAAATAAATAATGTAAAACGTCTAATTTAAATGAAATGATGAAAGTAATACCTCATCTGCGCTTGTTTTCCCTAGCGAAACCTGGGAAAGAGTAGTTGGCCTAAAATTTCACGGCAGCTGATTGCTTCGCGTCGCTAGATGTGCAGGTTGAGAGCCAGAGATCCGCCTCTTTTCCACCGTACCCCTGCAAGCGCGTATTTGAATGTTGCCGTTGTTTCTCGAACTTCAATTGTTTTAGTGTAATTATTGGGTTTAAAGAAACGTAAACGTAAATAGTTAATTGATAGAC